TCAAGATTTAGAACATATATCCCATCCACAATATGGGCGCTGCCATAAAATAATCCATTAAGATAAAACGAACAACTATTGTTCTTTATATCAAAACAGAAACCTTCCTTGTCCAAACAAGAAACAGAAATAATATTCCTGCGTATAGCAGGTACATAGTAGCAATTATTCAGTTCTAAAATCATGCCAGAAGGTAAAGCTACATCATATGTTCCTACGGCTAATGCAGCAACTCTTGCTCCATTCCTAACACGTAGCTCCACTTCACCTTTTGTAAGTGTTCAACTTCGTTTTAGTCCCTGCACATTCATACAAATGTGAGTACCACAACCGGTATCCAATACCCATGAAGTAGAACTAGTAGTAACATTTACTTCTATAACATAAATACCTGAATCGGAAGTCTCACTTCCCTTTTTCTTCAGATCCTCCAAATATTTCTTGCAATTCCTCTTCCAATGTCCATTCTCCCCACAATGGAAGCATACAGCATCAGCAGTCGGACCCAGTTTGGTATTGGATTTGGGTTTGGGCTTAATGCCCTTACCCTTACCCTTGACCTTACCTGGCTTCTTAAAGCCTTTCCCCTTTTGAACCATGAGAACATTAGGGGTAGGTTCCTTCTTGATATTTTGCTCAGCAGTTTTGAGCATCCCATGCAGTTCAGTCAAAGACTTATTCAGATTATGCATGTTATAGTTCATAACAAACGTGTCATAATCTTGAGGCAATTACTGAAGAATAATGTCAGTAGCCAACTCTTGGCTAATGGGAGAGCCCAGTCGCTCCAGGTTTTCAATATAATCTATCATCTTTATGACATGTGGGCTAATTGAGCTCCCACTTGCTAGCTTGCACTCAATTAATGTCTTTACCGTTTGGTACCTTTCAGTGCGTCCTGCTCCTGAAACAAATTTTTTAGGTTCATGATCATATCATAGGCATCCACGTTCTCAAACTGCTTCTGAAGGTCTGAGTTTATGGTAGCTAACATTAGACATGATGCATCCAATGCATCATCTTTATGCTTCTGATAAGCATTCCTTTCAGCATGGGAAGCATTGGAAGGAGGTGCCTTCTGAGGGATTGGTTTCTCCAGGACATAATCCTTTTTCTCCTGCTTGAGAACAATTCTCAAGCTTCTATACCAGTCCAAGAAGTTTGAACTATTCAATTTGTCCTTCTCAAGGACAGATCGCAGTGAAAAGTGTGATGCAGAGCTATTTGCCATTATCTACAACAAATATGCAAAGTGAATTGTTCATTAATATTACTTATAATAAACTCCCACTATACTTTTGTAATATATGTCCCAATAAGTATAGTGGACCAAGACCCATATTTTACCAAGACTCGAGTAAACTTTGGCTTACCGCTCAAGACTAAGTTATTTAGGTAGACAACCCTTTGTCAATTGTATCGAATACAACTCTTGGTTGTTGGGGTTGATATCTCATATCATATCCCCAAACACTATGCCTCAAGGCCCAAAACCGTTTTGATAGCCTCGTTAAGTAAACCAATCTTAACATATGGATAACCATTATCCATCCTATTTTACTCAAATAGTTAAAGACACCCTGCTTTGGCAGGCCCATCTTTTGACGATTCAAGTCTTAATAGGTGTATGATTGGAAATGCATCATATTATTACTTAATTTTATGAGGGACTCTTAATAATTATGTAGTGGTGAATGTATGCATGTTCTGAACATCAACAAAGCATCACTTATAATAACAAAGATATATCAATCATACGGGAAAGACCAATTCCATGCGGGGTCAAGGGGCTGCGCCCTCTGGAGTCGAGGGGGCGGCGCCCGAGGGGTCAAAGAGGCGAGCCCCTTGCGGTGGTCTCGCTGACCGGTCAGCGAGCGGGGTTCGAAGGGGCAGCGCCCCCGAAACCTAGACAGAATTCTCAATTCTGTTTTCCAGGAGAGCCCCGAAAACATAGACAGAAGTCTCACTTCTATGTTCTCGGGAGACTATCCGTCGCTGCCACCTCCCGCGCCCTCACCGTACGCATCTGGCTGAACGCCCCGAGTCCTTGATGCGCCGGATGACCAGGCGCACTGCCGTTTCCGCCTCGGGCAACAGACCCAGAGGCCCCGCCGTCTCCGACCGCCGTCTCCGCCTCGGGCAACACCCAGACGCGCCGCCGTCTCCGCCCGCCGTCTCCGCCTCGGGCAACAGCCCAGGCGCGAGCGGAACAAGATCGATCCATCCCTGCTTCGTTCCTTCTCAATTGATCATATCAATTCATATTTTAAATTCATCTAACCCTAATTGAGACTCACTTCAGTCATACATCATATGTATCAATAATTAGAGTTTCCAATTCAACTTGAATATATCACAAGCAGCTCTGATACCACTGTAGGGTTCATCAACGAAAACAACACAGCGGAATATAGAACCCTAGACAGGATCCATGTGTATATTAAAATCGGAAAGGAATTTCGATACGTACCTTTTGCAGATCGAAGATAAATCAGCAACTGATTGTGTCTGGATGAGCGCCCCAAGTGTTGCGCCTCTACCGGTATCCACACACACGAACGGAATTCTCCAACGATCCACGTGCTAGCGAAAGATCTTGAAGTTCCTTTTCTTGAACGCCTTTTGATTTTCGATACTCTATCGAAAAACCCTAGACAGAGAACGATTCTCTATCTATTTATACAGCCTCATTATCTAGCGAAATTAAAAGAAGTGGGTCGGGCTATTTTGGGCCCGCCAAACTGTCCACCTTCAATCGTACGTTTAATCGTTATCCATAACGCGCACGACCGCATAGATAATTTAAATAGGAGAATAAATTAAAATCTACTTCTTAAGTAGATCAAGGCGCACAGACAATATTAAGTCCGTTCGCTATTGTGTGCGACCCTGTAGGTTCACTAAACATTAGCAGTGTGCCCAAAACTCTTTTGGCCCACAAGTCATAAGCGGTTTCTAGCAAGACATTATGACTACCTAAGTATAGTGAAGATCGATTTTTCGACATAACTTAATCCACAACTAATATTAGAGTATCAATCTTGATTGATTCTTAGGGCAGACCACTAACATCAACACCCACTTCGGACTCTCCAGTTATTCCTCCACCTGTCCAATATGTTTATAGTAGACGTCCTCGTCAGCATGTGGAGCCCCCTGCAGATGTACCTCAGCCTATCTCATCTACTTTGTCTTCTCAACCTGAGGTAAGTCAGTCACATCTTGATCTCGATATTCCTATTGCTCATCGCAAAGGAGTTCGTAGTTGTACCAAACACCCTATTGCCCAGTTTGTCTCATATTCTGGTTTATCTGCCTCTTGTCGAGCTAGTCTAATGACCATTGATAATCATCCTATTCCTAAAACTGTTGCTGAAGCATTATCTAGTCCAGGCTGGAGGGCAGCTATGGAAAAGGAATTACAGGCACTGGACCAAAATCAGACTTGGGATCTTGTTCCTTTGCCTGCAGGGAAAACAACCATTGGATGTAAGTGGGTATATACTGTTAAGGTTAACCCTGATGGTTCTCTTGCTCGTCTCAAAGCTAGACTGGTTGCTAAAGGGTATGCACAGATTTATGGGGTTGATTATGGCGATACTTTTTCTCCGGTGGCTAAGATGACCTCTGTGTGTCTTTTGTTTTCTTTGGCTGCGTCTGCTTGTTGGCCTATGTTTCAGCTCGATGTAAAGAATGCCTTTCTTCATGGAGATTTACAGGAAGAGGTGTATATAAAGCAACCACCAGGGTTTGTTGCTCAGGTCATGTTTGTCGCTTAAACAAATCTTTATATGGCTTGAAACAGTCTCCCAGAGCCTGGTTTGGGAAGTTTACTGAGGCGGTACTCCAGTTTGGGTTGTGTAGATGTACTGGAGATTATTCTATGTTTTATCGAGTTTCTGGAGCTGGTCGGATATTCCTTGTAGTTTATGTGGATGATATTGTCATAACTGGAGATGATTCTACAGGGATTAAAGAGTTGAAAAGGTATTTGCAACAGCAGTTTTAGACAAAGGATTTGGGTCTTCTTAGATATTTTCTGGGTATCGAAGTAGCACGGGCGAAGAAAGGTATTTATATCTCACAACGAAAATATGTTCTGGATTTGCTTACAGAGACAGGTATGCTAGGTGCTAAACCCTTTGGATACACCAATGGAAGTGGGCTCTAAATTGACGAAGGAGGATGGTGAGTGTTGGATGATCCGGAGAGGTATCGAAGACTTGTTGGAAAGCTAAATTATCTGACTATCACTCGACCTGATGTTTCTTTTCCTGTGAGTGTTGTGAGTCAGTTTATGTCTTCTCCCCGTACCTCACATTGGGCTGCTGTAATCAAAATTTTGAGATACTTGAAGAAAGCTCCTGGTCGTGGTCTCATTTATCAGGATCATGGTCACAGAAGGGTGGAAGCCTTCTCAGATGCTGATTGGGCAGGAACTCCTATAGATAGGAGGTCTATGTCAGGGTATTGTACCTTTGTAGGAGGAAACCTAGTATCTTGGAAGAGTAAGAAGCAAAGTGTTGTGGCTAGATCAAGTGCAGAATCATAATACAGAGCTATGGCTCAAGCTACCTGTGAGCTAGTTTGGATGCGTCAATTATTAGTTGAACTTGGATTCGAAGACCCTGCGCCAATGGAGTTGTGGTGTGATAATCGAGCAGCTGTCCATATTGCCTCAAATCCAGTTTTCCATGAGCGTACCAAGCATATCGAAGTTGATTGCCACTTTGTCCATGAGAAACTTCAAGCGAGAGTTATTTCTACTAGTCATGTTAGGACCGGTGAACAACTAGCTGATATTTTCACCAAATCTCTAGGGGGAAGTAGGATTGAGTATATCTGTAACAAGCTGGGCATGCTTGATATCCATGCTCCAGCTTGAGGGGGAGTGTTAAAGGGTAAAAAAGGGTATAATGGTCTTTGGGATTTTGATGTGTATATATACCGTACTTTCTGATCAATAAAAGAGATTAATTATTCTGCTTACAGGCAGTATTGGTGCCATACTATGAGGGGTTGGCAGCTGGATCTGCCTGGAAATTTGGATGAGATGTGAATGTGACTGGAATACATGGTCCTGCTTATCACGTTGCCGAGAGCAAGTGAACGGCTCAACATTAAAACTCCAATAGGTGGGGTGCTGCTTAATGAAGATATGGGATTTGTTGGCCCAACACCCAAAGAAAAGAGGGAAAACAGTTTAGGTGTTAGTGGGTGGGGGGCAATTGTCCATCTTCTTGCATAGGCTTGAGTGTGTACTAAGAATTATCCATCAAAGTGGATTTAGTGTAGTAGCAGTTCTCTACTAAGGGTTTCCCATCACTGTATGGATTTGGTGTAGCAGCAGTTTTCACTAGAAAAAAGAAGAAGCTTTGATACCTATAGTGTGTCTTGATATCAGACTAAAGAAGATATATAATGGACAACTTGATGAGGAGTTGTTCTTTAACCCGAGCCAATATAATAATTGGACGATTGTCATAATGCACCTTGAATAAGAAGAAAAATCACAGCTGAGATTTTAAAAGTCAATTGAAGAGTTTTCTTATGCATGATTCTCGATTAACTATTTGACAAAGCTTCAGTTACATATCTGTTGGAAGATGCATGATCACACACTCTGTTCATCTGACATTCCTCGTGTCCTAGAGTCTTTCTAGTTTACTTGTGCCATAATTGAGTGTACACATTCTGCTAGGCCTGTGCTCGAGTTGGAGCAGCTGGATCTGATCCTATATCGAGTAAAGTCTCTGATTTTAAAGATGCATGTTGGAGATTTTTAAGACCTCATACAATAAGAGGAACAGCTCTGGGTTCCTTGTAAGTATTCTTTTCCTTCTGCCATAGTTATTTACAATTAGCTGATCATAACACTTTAGTTTTTCTTATGTTTTGTCTCTCCCTGCTTGCCCCAGTTTACTTGAACTTACTGTTGCTCATCAACAGTTCATTGGTGGCTAGAGCTCTGATCGAGAACTCGCACCTGATAAAGTGGTCTCTTCTGCTTAAAGCATTCTCTGGTCTTTTTGCTCTAATATGTGGGAATGGATATATTGTCGGCATCAATCAGATATTTGATATCGGCATTGACAAGTACGTGGTGCTTGCTGGAACATTGTTTTATTAAATTATATCTGGCTAGATGGGCGTTGGTTACGGCGTCACTATTACTAGCATGAGAAGAAATGAAAAACTACCAAGATATTGGAACTGAGAAACAGAGCAAAAGTTCTTCCGACTTCAGCATAGATGTTTAAAGTGAGAAAGAATGCATGTGTTCATAATGAAAAAATGTGACATCCCAATTTTTGCTGGACATCAGATTTAGGTCAGTGTTTGAGGTACCATGCAAGAACTCACGGTTCTTTGGAGTTCTAGTTTTTTAATTGACCTTCTTGTCATGCCTATGCTTTTGAGGATCAATGTCCCGAGCTTACCCTCCAGTTTTATGATTAGTATCTTTTTTGTCTTATTTCAGGGTCAACAAACCTTATTTGCCTATAGCAGCAGGAGATCTTTCTATTCAACATGCCTGGCTTTTGGTGATATTTTTTGCAGTGACTGGCCTGTCGATCGTTGCTTCAAACTTTGGATCATTCATTACTTCTCTTTACAGTCTGGGTCTTTTTCTTGGAGCCATCTATTCTGTTCCTCCTTTTAGGATGAAGAGATTTCCTGTTGCAGCATTTCTTATTATTGCCACGGTATATTTTCTTCCTTATTTTTCGAAAAATTGAATAGTTTAAAGTCGCTTCATCTTTTTGTGCCTTGCTGAAAGATTATGGCTGTACAACCTGATGAGCTTTGCTTTGGGTAGAAACTTTCTTCGCTACTTTCTTCTTTTAGTATTTTTTGCGGACTAGCATCTTTCCTTCAGTTATATTTTTCAATTATATGGCATTGTGTCTGGCTTGTTCGTTTTCTGTTTCTGAAGCGGAATCTATGGTTGTCACGTGTCTTTTGATTGTTTTGAATGTATTACATGATGTTTATTAATGCGTAGCTATTGCTATGTGTCGTGACCTAAAAATCAGGTTTTCCGATCTTAGGCTAATGGATTACTAGACCAATTAAATTAATTAACCTAACTCGAATTCTCCTAAACTCTACCAATTTGCAACTTAGGTCCAATTATGAGCATGCAAATATTTTCAATGGGAGCCACTAATCATTTAAGGTAGGTTGATTAGAAACCTAAATAAAATAGCGGGAGTACTATTTTATTTCTATGAACCAGAGATTATAAATCCGGGACTTGGTTATGCTAGATTATCCTAACGTCCTTTCGGTACCAATCTCAAGAAAAACGCTCAATTCGGCAATTTTGATGAATTCTGACTTAGAGCTCAAAGGTGCAATTTTTTTTATTTTCTTTTTTTATGATTTTTTTTTGTATTTTTGATGTATTTTCGAATTTAAATTTAAGTCGCAAATCTTTTAGTAGAAAGATTATTACCGCTAAATCTTTCGAATTAAGTTTCGATCTGAAGCCTGACAGATCGACCCTAAAAATTCGAAATACCCGCTATGAAAATAAATAACTCTATCTAAAGCCTGATAGATAGACTTATTCCCATATGTGCAGTTGCGGATTAGGAGATTTTCCTAACCGATCACATCTTGAAAAGATTTTGCTATCTTGAATAACTTGAATATATTCAAAAGATTTTGAAATTTTCAAATTCTATTCAAATTTGACAAGTAATACACATCCAAGATTTCCAAAGAATATTCAGTTAAATCGCAGTCTTTAAATTAAGCAAGGCACCTTCTATCATTCAAAGATTCACACAAAATTGTAATATTTCAAATAAAGAAGCAATATACTCAAAAATCAAATTAAATGAGATCTTTACCTAATTCGAATATTTGCTTTCCAAGTTTGGATTGGACTGGCGGATGATGGTTCACGACCAAGGATAGCCGCTAGCTTGGCTACTTGGTGTCGACGACGGCGAAAGAGTGCGGCTATTGAGCTTGGTGAGCTTTGAACCACCAAGTCAAATGCGAACTCTAAATATGCAAATCTCTTCGTGAGTTGATGTGTCTGAGTCCCCACTGAAAACTTTGACCGTGCAATCCTCTTTTGGCTGGATGCTTTTTCTTTGACCACCGAATGGCTCTAAGCTGGGATGGACTTACTGGGACCGACTCAAAACCTGCAATAAAGACAGCGAAAAGGATTGTCACTGGGGTCTCGCTTGCGGACTGGGTGCGACGAGGCCTCGCCGGACGAGACGCTGGAGCCGGTTTGGTGGACGTTTGCTGTGTTGCTGAGATTTTTTTGGAAGGAACTGGACACCGAGCAGTGGCTGGTGTCGGGACTGCTCTGCAAAATTGAGATCTCGCCTGAAAGTGCTCACTGGAAGCGTCGGCCCGCTGTGAAGGTGCCGAAGTTGCAACGAATTGTCGAGTGCATCGAATGCAGCTGGTCTTTGGCGTGGGCAGGTAGCGCCAAGACAAAGAAAGCAGCGTCGCGATATTCGTGCAGGTGCTACGTTGGGCTTCGTCGGTGCTGGCGAGTTGCAAATCGAAGCTCCAAGCGGGAACGCCAAAGGAAGAAGATGACACTCTCCCTTTTCTCACTTTTCTGTATTGTCTTTCGCTTCTTTTTTTTTTTGGCTTCTCTGTGAGTGCAGAACGTGGCCAAAGGAAGAAGATGACACTCTCCCTTTTCTCACTTTTCTGTATTGTCTTTCGCTTTTTTTTTTTTTTGGCTTCTCTGTGAGTGCAGAACGTGGAGACGTTTTGCTCTCCACCTTTACCCTCGTGAGTTGAGCCTCCTGCGGAAAGAACAGAAACAATCTCTCTCTCTCTCTTTGATTTTTCTTTCTCGCTTTCTTGTGGCCGTGTGTTCTACTATGTGGCTCCCTCTTTTGTCCGTAAGTGGCCTTTTATAGGTGGCATACCCTAGGGTTTTCATGAAAAAAAGATAGAACTCAATTTCCTTCCAAAAATTCTAGAATATATTGCGGCTTATCCTTTCCTTTTTCAAACCTTTCTTTGTTGACCAAATTTTTGTACGCAATCCACAGAATCAATTTTGCCCTCTTTCTTTATATTCACTTCCCAGGACAAATCAATTTGACAAATACCCCAATGAATTTTGGTAATGATAATTAATGGGCTAGGTCAAATTTTCATTACCGTGGGCTTAGTCTAGTTAAGCTCAGAATCATTCACTCAAGTCCATCCGCCGCCGGTCTAATGTAAATGCAACTATATGAGCCAATTACTATAAATGCTCCTAAAATCTATATGCAATTTAATTATTATTTTTGTTAGGGACTAAAATTTAATCCCTAATTTTCTATGTAATTAATCACTAAATGGTTAGTCAAAATTTAGGTGTCAACAATGACTAAAAAAATAGCTAAAATTTAGGTGTCAACACTATGGACAAGATTTGATGGCCCAAATGGTGTATAATTTGCGACGAATATTTAGCGACGAATTTTGCGACCAATACAGTTCGTGGCTAATTTGCGACGAATTTTGCGACGAATATAGTTCATGGCTAATTTGCGACGAATTTTGCGATGAATAAGTAGCAACCAATTTTGCGACCAATTTTCCGACGAATAAAGTTCGTGGTTAATTTGCGACGAATTATTTGCGACGGATAAAGTTCGTGGCTAATTTGCGACGAATAAAGTTTACGGCTAATTTGCGACGAATTATTTGCGACGAATTTTGCGACGGATAAAGTTCGTGGCTAATTTGCGACGAATTTTGTGACGAAATTTGCGACGAATAAAGTTCGTGGCTAATTTACGACAAATTTTGTGACGAATTTTGCGACGGATAAAGTTCGTAGTTAATTTGCGACGAATAAAGTTCGTGGCTAATTTGCGATAAATTTTGCGACGAATTATTTCCGACGAATTTTGCGACGAATTTTTTTCCGTCGCAATTTAGCGACGGAAATTGAAATTTTCCGTTGTAAAATTTTGCGACGCCGAATTAGCGACGGAATTTTTTCCATCGCTAATTTCGTTGCAAATTCGATTAGCGATGGATTTTGCCAAATTTTTCGTCACAAAATTCGTCGCTAATCTCTTGTTTTTTTGTAGTGTAAGGGCTTGAAGTGCCATTATTTTCTTAGTGGCCGGCTGGGCCCTCGCCCAATGGTTGGCGAGGGTCGCCGGGCCCTCATTGGCTAGCGATGGTCGGCGACGGAGAAAACAAAAGAAATAGAAAAAAAGAAAAGAAAAGAGGAAAAAAATAAATAAAAAAATAAAAAAAGGATGAAAATGCCCTTGATTAGTTGGTAGGATTAGGCACTTCTTTGAGCTCTTCTGGCCCTTATTTGAAACAAGGTCTACTTCAGGCTCTTATTTGAGAAAACAATGACACTTCAAGCTTTTATCTGAAATAAGGTCCAATTCAAGCCTTTATTTGAGAAAATGAGAGCACTTTAGGCTTTTATTTGGAATTTTCCCTCTTGAAATATATTTATATGCAATATATTAGTTACTGTATAGTTCACAATACACTAATTTAGCATACTTATAATGACTCAATTGAATATTAAATTTGATTATATATATCTCAAATTTTGATATGATATTAAACACAACAATTATTACATTGTTTGTCACATAATACATTGCTCCCTATAGTTGTCACGCCCCGCTCTCCTCGGCGCGCCACATCCCTCGCGAAGGTCGATTCGTGTGCGACGTCCCAGGACGTGTCGCCGACCCAACACCCAACACAGAGATTTAAAGCACATGCGGAAGTAATTAAAACCACCCGTACAAAGATAAATACACAACCAAGGATAGCCACAGAAACCAACAACAACGATTGCACTAATACTGGAAATCATATACAATATTCATATACAACCCGATCATCAAAAATCAAAAGCGGGTCAAGGCCACTACTGACAAAAAGGGGGGTAAGTGGCTCGGCGGTCAAGCATTATATCTAACCGAGGCTCCTTCCAAAATGTATCGGTACGCCTGTCATCTTCAAGGTCGGGGGTCTGAAAAATTGATTTTCAACAACAGTGAGAATGAATCTCAGCGAGTAGGTTCCCTAAACCTAAGCTAGGCTAACATGCACCTCCTGACGAGCACTAAACAACACACCAATCAAGCCATAATTGACTTAGGCCCTCGGGCCCAAATCCAATACTGACCTTGCCCTGCAAGTTAGGCACTTACAATTCAAGAATAAAACATAGGACCCAAACGCAACACATGCGCACATTACTTGGTCACAACGCATGTCATGCTTATGCTCGTGCTCATACGCGTGCTCACGCCTCATCAATGCATTTTCGCACGCTTGCACTCAGCACACTTGCCATTTATCAATTTCTCCTCCGACCCGCGTTAAACGCATCAGGTCCGACCCGCGTTAAACGCATCAGGTCCGACCCGCGTAAAACGCATCAGGTCCATCACTTCGAGATCGATCTCTAGCCCGCGTAAAACGCATCAGGCTCATGGCACAACACCCGCGTAAAACGCATTAGGTTTGGCCATCTTCCGGTAGGCCGGGCATCGTCCCGCGTAACACGCCTCAGGACGGGTTCACTACCCCGCGTAAAACGCATCAGGGTTTATTGTGATCACACATTCACAAGTACCAATTTTCATCTGAACCCCGCGTTAAACGCATCAGGGCATTTTAGGTGATCACAATGCACATGTCACTCGAGCACACTTGTAAATGCACATGCCGTGCCAATGCTCGTGATGCAAACTCATGGCCATAAACTTCACACTCGGGCATTCACGATTTTCACAATGAGCATTCAATTGCACAACGCCGCTTATTCAATTCACCACATAATATGCTCAATTCAATAAATCACAAGCCCAAGTAATCAACCATCCATTCCAGCCATGGCACAAACTTGGCACATAATTTACGCATACAAATCACAC